CAACATACACCACGGACCTGCACCACCCGGTACCGATGCCCACCCACCCGTCTCGCCGGCCAGCCGGGTTCGATCCCCGCCTCCGCCTCCTGGGTCATCGCTCGTTTTCAGCGCCCATATCGGCCGTGATCCGTGCTAGCTCGTGGGTATGGGTGCCCTGTGGGTGACGGTGGTGTGACTGGCCGCAGTGCCAGCAAAGCCGCACGTGAGCCTTGGCAGCGGCCGCTCCGGCGTCGATCACGAGTCTTTGGAACTCGAACGTAATAGCGGCTGCTGTGAAGAGGCAACAGGGCATCGGGGAGCGCGTGTGTGCGGCAGGTGTTCGGCGCAGCAACAACGGGTGCGTGGTGGTGCCGGTAGGATGGGTGCAAAACGAGGTCCTACCGGGATTTGAACCCGGATCGCTGGATTCAGAGTCCAGAGTGCTAACCATTACACCATAAGACCAGCACTAACTGGTCTACCCCCTAAACGATTTTCAAACGCGAATTACGAACGCTACACGCACCGCAGCGCCTCCAGCACGCTACACGCTTGCAACGCCGCGCAAAAACGAGCTCCTACCGGGATTTGAACCCGGATCGCTGGATTCAAAGTCCAGAGTGCTAACCATTACACCATAAGAGCGCCTAACCCAGCCCTTGCGCACCTACTCCGGAACCCGCTCGTGCCACGCAAATACCGGCCGCCACGCACCTCGCCACCGCCGCAAACATACACCACGGACCTGCACCACCCGGTACCGATGCCCACCCACCCGTCTCGCCGGCCAGCCGGGTTCGATCCCCGCCTCCGCCTCCTGGGTCATCGCTCGTTTTCAGCGCCGCTATCGGCCGTAATCCGTGCTAGCTCGTGGGTATGGGTGACCTGTGGGTGACGGTGGTGTGACTGGAGCCTGTCACGCACGACTGGCCGCACTGCCAGCAAAGCCGCACGTGAGCCTTGGCAGCGGCCGCTCCGGCGTCGACCACGAGTCTTTGGAACTCGAACGTAATAGCGGCTGCTGTGAAGAGGCAACAGGGCATCGGGGAGCGCGTGTGTGCGGCAGATGTTCGGCGCAGCAACAACGGGGGCGTGGTGGTGCCGGTAGGATGGGTGCAAAACGAGGTCCTACCGGGATTTGAACCCGGATCGCTGGATTCAGAGTCCAGAGTGCTAACCATTACACCATAAGACCACCACTAACTGGTCTACCCCCTAAACGATTTTCAAACGCGAATTACGAACGCTACACGCACCGCAGCGCCTCCAGCACGCTACACGCTTGCAACGCCGCGCAAAAACGAGCTCCTACCGGGATTTGAACCCGGATCGCTGGATTCAAAGTCCAGAGTGCTAACCATTACACCATAAGAGCGCCTAACCCAGCCCTTGCGCACCTACTCCGGAACCCGCTCGTGCCACGCAAATACCGGCCGCCACGCACCTCGCCACCGCCGCAAACATACACCACGGACCTGCACCACCCGGTACCGATGCCCACCCACCCGTCTCGCCGGCCAGCCGGGTTCGATCCCCGCCTCCGCCTCCTGGGTCATCGCTCGTTTTCAGCGCCGCTATCGGCCGTAATCCGTGCTAGCTCGTGGGTATGGGTGCCCTGTGGGTGACGGTGGTGTGACTGGAGCCTGTCACGCACGACTGGCCGCACTGCCAGCAAAGCCGCACGTGAGCCTTGGCAGCGGCCGCTCCGGCGTCGACCACGAGTCTTTGGAACTCGAACGTAATAGCGACTGCTGTGAAGAGGCAACAGGGCATCGGGGAGCGCGTGTGTGCGGCAGATGTTCGGCGCAGCAACAACGGGGGCGTGGTGGTGCCGGTAGGATGGGTGCAAAACGAGGTCCTACCGGGATTTGAACCCGGATCGCTGGATTCAGAGTCCAGAGTGCTAACCATTACACCATAAGACCAGCACTAACTGGTCTACCCCCTAAACGATTTTCAAACGCGAATTACGAACGCTACACGCACCGCAGCGCCTCCAGCACGCTACACGCTTGCAACGCCGCGCAAAAACGAGCTCCTACCGGGATTTGAACCCGGATCGCTGGATTCAAAGTCCAGAGTGCTAACCATTACACCATAAGAGCGCCTAACCCAGCCCTTGCGCACCTACTCCGGAACCCGCTCGTGCCACGCAAATACCGGCCGCCACGCACCTCGCCACCGCCGCAAACATACACCACGGACCTGCACCACCCGGTACCGATGCCCACCCACCCGTCTCGCCGGCCAGCCGGGTTCGATCCCCGCCTCCGCCTCCTGGGTCATCGCTCGTTTTCAGCGCCGCTATCGGCCGTAATCCGTGCTAGCTCGTGGGTATGGGTGCCCTGTGGGTGACGGTGGTGTGACTGGAGCCTGTCACGAACGACTGGCCGCACTGCCAGTAAAGCCGCACGTGAGCCTTGGCAGCGGCCGCTCCGGCGTCGACCACGAGTCTTTGGAACTCGAACGTAATAGCGGCTGCTGTGAAGAGGCAACAGGGCATCGGGGAGCGCGTGTGTGCGGCAGGTGTTCGGCGCAGCAACAACGGGGGCGTGGTGGTGCCGGTAGGATGGGTGCAAAACGAGGTCCTACCGGGATTTGAACCCGGATCGCTGGATTCAGAGTCCAGAGTGCTAACCATTACACCATAAGACCAGCACTAACTGGTCTACCCCCTAAACGATGTTCAAACGCGAATTACGAACGCTACACGCACCGCAGCGCCTCCAGCACGCTACACGCTTGCAACGCCGCGCAAAAAACGAGCTCCTACCGGGATTTGAACCCGGATCGCTGGATTCAGAGTCCAGAGTGCTAACCATTACACCATAAGACCAGCACTAACTGGTCTACCCCCTAAACGATGTTCAAACGCGAATTACGAACGCTACACGCACCGCAGCGCCTCCAGCACGCTACACGCTTGCAACGCCGCGCAAAAAACGAGCTCCTACCGGGATTTGAACCCGGATCGCTGGATTCAGAGTCCAGAGTGCTAACCATTACACCATAAGACCAGCACTAACTGGTCTACCCCCTAAACGATGTTCAAACGCGAATTACGAACGCTACACGCACCGCAGCGCCTCCAGCACGCTACACGCTTGCAACGCCGCGCAAAAAACGAGCTCCTACCGGGATTTGAACCCGGATCGCTGGATTCAAAGTCCAGAGTGCTAACCATTACACCATAAGAGCGCCTAACCCAGCCCTTGCGCACCTACTCCGGAACCCGCTCGTGCCACGCAAATACCGGCCGCCACGCACCTCGCCACCGCCGCAAACATACACCACGGACCTGCACCACCCGGTACCGATGCCCACCCACCCGTCTCGCCGGCCAGCCGGGTTCGATCCCCGCCTCCGCCTCCTGGGTCATCGCTCGTTTTCAGCGCCACTATCGGCCGTGAGCCGTGCTAGCTCGTGGGTATGGGTGACCTGTGGGTGACGGTGGTGTGACTGGAGCCTGTCACGCACGACTGGCCGCAGTGCCAGCAAAGCCGCACGTGAGCCTTGGCAGCGGCCGCTCCGGCGTCGACCACGAGTCTTTGGAACTCGAACGTAATAGCGGCTGCTGTGAAGTGGCAACAGGGCATCGGGGAGCGCGTGTGTGCGGCAGGTGTTCGGCGCAGCAACAACGGGGGCGTGGTGGTGCCGGTAGGATGGGTGCAAAACGAGGTCCTACCGGGATTTGAACCCGGATCGCTGGATTCAGAGTCCAGAGTGCTAACCATTACACCATAAGACCAGCACTAACTGGTCTACCCCCTAAACGATTTTCAAACGCGAATTACGAACGCTACACGCACCGCAGCGCCTCCAGCACGCTACACGCTTGCAACGCCGCGCAAAAACGAGCTCCTACCGGGATTTGAACCCGGATCGCTGGATTCAAAGTCCAGAGTGCTAACCATTACACCATAAGAGCGCCTAACCCAGCCCTTGCGCACCTACTCCGGAACCCGCTCGTGCCACGCAAATACCGGCCGCCACGCACCTCGCCACCGCCGCAAACATACACCACGGACCTGCACCACCCGGTACCGATGCCCACCCACCCGTCTCGCCGGCCAGCCGGGTTCGATCCCCGCCTCCGCCTCCTGGGTCATCGCTCGTTTTCAGCGCCGCTATCGGCCGTGAGCCGTGCTAGCTCGTGGGTATGGGTGACCTGTGGGTGACGGTGGTGTGACTGGAGCCTGTCACGCACGACTGGCCGCACTGCCAGCAAAGCCGCACGTGAGCCTTGGCAGCGGCCGCTCCGGCGTCGACCACGAGTCTTTGGAACTCGAACGTAATAGCGGCTGCTGTGAAGAGGCAACAGGGCATCGGGGAGCGCGTGTGTGCGGCAGGTGTTCGGCGCAGCAACAACGGGGGCGTGGTGGTGCCGGTAGGATGGGTGCAAAACGAGGTCCTACCGGGATTTGAACCCGGATCGCTGGATTCAGAGTCCAGAGTGCTAACCATTACACCATAAGACCAGCACTAACTGGTCTACCCCCTAAACGATGTTCAAACGCGAATTACGAACGCTACACGCACCGCAGCGCCTCCAGCACGCTACACGCTTGCAACGCCGCGCAAAAAACGAGCTCCTACCGGGATTTGAACCCGGATCGCTGGATTCAGAGTCCAGAGTGCTAACCATTACACCATAAGACCAGCACTAACTGGTCTACCCCCTAAACGATGTTCAAACGCGAATTACGAACGCTACACGCACCGCAGCGCCTCCAGCACGCTACACGCTTGCAACGCCGCGCAAAAAACGAGCTCCTACCGGGATTTGAACCCGGATCGCTGGATTCAAAGTCCAGAGTGCTAACCATTACACCATAAGAGCGCCTAACCCAGCCCTTGCGCACCTACTCCGGAACCCGCTCGTGCCACGCAAATACCGGCCGCCACGCACCTCGCCACCGCCGCAAACATACACCACGGACCTGCACCACCCGGTACCGATGCCCACCCACCCGTCTCGCCGGCCAGCCGGGTTCGATCCCCGCCTCCGCCTCCTGGGTCATCGCTCGTTTTCAGCGCCACTATCGGCCGTGAGCCGTGCTAGCTCGTGGGTATGGGTGACCTGTGGGTGACGGTGGTGTGACTGGAGCCTGTCACGCACGACTGGCCGCACTGCCAGCAAAGCCGCACGTGAGCCTTGGCAGCGGCCGCTCCGGCGTCGACCACGAGTCTTTGGAACTCGAACGTAATAGCGGCTGCTGTGAAGTGGCAACAGGGCATCGGGGAGCGCG